AGGAAAGAGAAAAGGGCGGAGGAGTGAGACGAGAGAGTGAGAGGGAGAACGAGAAAGGGCGGAGAGAGAGAGAGGAGAAGGAGGAAAGGGAGAGATGAGAGAGAGAGGGAAGAGAAAGGGGAGAGAGAGGAGAGAGAGGAGAAAGAGAAATGAGAGGGAAGGGAGAGGGAAGAAAGAGAAAGGAGAGAGAGAGAGAGGGGGCGAAAGAAGAGAAAGGGGATGAGGAGAGAGAGGGGTGGGGGAGGAGAGAGAGAGAGAGAGAGAGAGAGGGAGAGAGAGAGAAGAGGAGAGAGAGAGAAGAGAGAGAGAGAGAGAAGAGAGAGAGCGAGAGAGGAGAGAGAGGCGAGGGGAGAGAGCGAGAGATGAGAGGGGAGAGAGAGGAGAGGAGAGAGAGAGAGAGGAGGGAGCGAGAAGGAGGCGAGGAGAGAGAGGAGTGAGAGAGAGGAAGAGAGAGAGAGAGAGAGAGAGAGAGGAGAGTGAGGGAGATGGAGAGAGAGGGTGATGGAGAGAGAGGGAGATGGCGAGAGAGGGAGATGGAGAGAGAGGAGAGGAGAGGGAAGAGAGAGGGAGAGAGAGTGAGAGAGAGAGAGGAGGAGACGAGGAAGAGGGTGAGAGAGGCGAGAGAGGGAGAGAGAGAGAGAAATAGAGAGATTGGAAAGAGAGAGATTGAGGAAAGAGAGAGAGAGAGAGAGAGAGATGGAAGAGAGAAGAGAGAGGAGGAGAGAGAGAGGGAGAGAAACGAAGAGAGAGGAAGAGTGAGAAAGAGGAGAGAGAGAGAGGAGAAAGAGAGAGAGGAGAAAGAGAGAGAGGAGAAAGAGAGAGAGGAGAAAGAGAGAGAGAAGAAAGGAAGAGAGAGAGGAGAAAGAGAGAGGTGAAAGAGAAAGAGGAGGAGAAAGAAGAGAGGAGGAAAGAAAAAGAGAGGAGAAACAGAGAAAGAGAGGAAGAAAGAGAACGAGAGGAGGAAAGAGGGAGGAGAGAGAGAGAGAGAGGAGAGGAAGAAGGATCGGAAGAGTAAGAGAGAGAGAGGAGAGAGAGAGAGAGAGATGAGAGAGAGAGAGAGAGAGAGAAGAGAGAGGGGAGAGAGGAGAGAGAGAGAAGAGAGAGAGAGGAGAGAGAGAGGAGAGCAGGAGAGGAGAGAGAGAGAGGAGAAGAGAGTAGGAGAGAGGAGAGAGAGAGGAGAGAAGAGGAGGAGAGAGGGAGAGAGAGGAGAGAGAGAGGAGACTGTGAAGGCGAAGACAGGAGGGAGGAGGAGGACAGAAAGGAGAAGACAGGATGGTAGGAGGAGAAAGTGGAAGGAGGAGGAGAAGAGGAAGGAGGAGGAGGAAGAGGAAGGAGGAGGAGCGAACAGGATAGGTGTGAGGAGGAGAAGAAGGGAGAGGACGGTGATGGTAGGAGGAGGAAACATGTAAAAAAAAAGCGAGGGGAGAGAGGGAGAGTGGGGGAGTAGGGGGGAGAGGAGAGAGAGTGAGAGGAGGAAGGAGGGGAGGAGGGGAGGAGGGGAGCGCAGGAGACGAGAGAGGAGGAGAGAGATGGGAGGGTGATGAGTGGAGAAGGAGAGAGGGAGGAGGAGGAGGAGGAGGAGGAGGAGGAAGAGAGGTGGGAGAGGAGAGAGGGGAAAGGAGGAGGAGGAGGATAGGAGTAGGAGAAAGGGGAGGAGGAGGAGGAGGAGGAGGAGGAGGAGGAGGAGGAGGAGGAGGGAGGAGAAAGGAGTACAGGGATGAGGAGGGAAGAGGATAAGGAAGAGGAGGAGGAGGAGACAGACAAAAAAGAGAGAAAGAGAGAGAGAGAGATGCAGGGAGGAGAGAGAGAGAGAGAGAGGAGAGAGAGAGAGAAGAGTAGAGAGGGAGAGGGTGAGAGAGAGAGAGAGAGAGAAGATGAGAGAGAAAGAGGAAAGAGAGAGAAAGAGAGAGCAAGGAAAGGATAGAGAGAGAAGAGAGAGAGAGAGAAGAGAGAGAGAGAGAGAGAGAGAGAGAGAGAGAGAGAGAGAGAGAGAGAGAGAGAAAGAGAGAGAGAGAGAGAAAAAAATTGTGAGTGACTGAATGTGTGTCTCTGTTCATATACAAGTTAACACAATGGAAAAGACGAATACGTAAATGTAAATACGACTGCTTTTGCAATGTCATTACCTGCCGTGAGGATACGGAGGGCCTGTTCCACCTGGTCCTCCTTCACTCCGCCTCCAAGATCGAGGAAGTTGGCTGGGGATCCTCCGTACAGTTTGATAATGTCCATGGTTGCCATTGCCAAGCCTGCACCGTTTACTGCAAAACAGAGGTTGAGATATGTGTCTGAATGTTGCAAAATGTGCTACCATGCTTTAGTCATTTACATTTGTTTTGTTAATTTTATTTACACAAAGATGGCTGCACAAATAAGTTAGCATGGAGTCTATTAATAGGCCTACACAACTTTAACCATTCCCCAAGTCCTTGAGATTTTGTGATCCCCCCCCCCCCCCCCCTAATAACCACTGATGTAATAGTGATATGGCCCATTCTGAATATCACCAGTTCCCCTAACAAAAGTCCCAAGAAAGATTTTAAATATTTATTTACCTTTTAAAAGCTTTGGTAAAGGGTCATCTATTTTTTTTTCATCATTTTCAAGAATGCACAAACAGTACACTGAGGGGGAGGGTGTTAACCTTCTGGCATACACTTTATAGAGAATCATAAAAATGTTGATCCAGCTCACATAAAAAACTTACAAATTATTTATTGTCTTCATATCACGACACTTGAACACATTTATATTTTTTATCTAATTCCATTCTCTTGCTGTAAGCTCCATGGACAAAGACAGAACATGCTTCACTGACTATAGGTCAATGCAAGGTATCCTATAGTGTTTGCCTGCTAGAATCTGTCAGTATTAGTGTATTCTTTTAGATCCTGGAGATCTATGGCAAAGGTAATCATTTTTATTTTTTTGCTTTGTATACTCTGGAAGAAGGTAGAAGGTCTTGGGAAAAAAAAGTGCTCTTTGTTTCCTTGTGCAACTTATTCTTAAAAAATGGATGATCCCTAACTGTTAGTTCTACTAGCAATATGAACCATCAATCCACAATGAACCAAGGAAGTAAGTTCCTAAGGCCATTATCTGGAATTAATTCCTTTGAAGCTTGGCATGGACACTGATCAAACAATTGAAAAGTTCCAATGTCAGAGGCAGCTCAGGTTAACACTTAACATTTCAGTATTACAAATGAAAGAATTGTTGTATAAAGCTCTTAGTTAGAACTAGTTTGAAGACCATGTGCATTGAGGCTGGGAAGCTGTAATAGTCCCAGATGCTGTCAAGTTTCTCAGGATAATGCTGTATTTAACCCTATAATGCCGGTGCCAGAAATTTCTGTGTCACCCATTCCGGTGACTTCTAGCAACCGCCTAGCCTTCTGGTTGGAGAGTTCCCTGCATATATCAGAACTTCCTGTCATGATGAATTAGTTTTTCATAATGGCTATAGGTGTGCCTGCCTATAAGAGGTTAAGAATCCAGCATCCAGTCCCACCACAAATGGCTTACCTAGACATCCAATGTTTCCATCCATGCCAATGTACGTCAGGTTATGTCTAGCAGCCTCAACCTCTCTTGGATCACTCTCACTTGTGTCTTCCTCGGCAAAGATGGGCTTCTGTCTGTAACATTAAGGATCTTACAATTAAGTGATGCAATAATATCTTGCTGTAAAAAAAATGACCCTGAATTAAGCTTGAAAGATGAATGTACTGAAATATCAAATGACAATAATAACAAAAAGTAATAACATTTACAATCAGAAAAAACACCTTCATACAGAGAGTGAAAGTGAGTAATGGAAGCTAGCTCCCTTCTGCCCTGCCCCAAACATCTCACCTGAACTCTGCATTGTCATCAAACTGAATTTTGGCATCGACTGCAACAACCTGTCCCTGGGGAGTCTCTATTAGTGGGTTGATCTCAATCTGAGTTGCGTCGACACTCAGGAACATCTGCCAAATCGCTTGCACTTCCTTAGCACACTGTAGGGAATAGAAGGGAGGCCATAACATATGTAGGCCAACTATATTCCAAACATAACTGGATTTATCTACTACAATAAAAACTTTTCTATTCCTATCTATCCATCTGTGTGTACTATATGAAAGAAAGAAAGAGAAAAAGAGAGGGGGAGAGAGAAGGGGGAAGGGAGGGGTGGAGGAGAAAGAAAAAAAAAGAAAGAAAGGAGGAGGGGGAGGGGGGAGATGGGGAGGTATGTATGGGAGGGAGAGTGGATATGGTGTTTTAGACAATGCGAGAGAGAGAGATATGATATAGAGTGACGAGAATAGAACGATATCGAGATGATGACTAGCGATATATATATATCGATAGACTATAGCGATAATTCGTCTAGCACTCTGCCATTATACATATACAATAGACATCATAAATCGACCCTGATCAACTCATCCCTCTATACCATATATCTCTCATCTGCTCTCTATCTCGTATATATATCTCTCTCTACTATCTATCCGAGAGAGAGAGAGAGAGAGAGAGAGAGAGGAAGAAAAAAATTTAAACTAAGGCATCTGATCTCTGACCCTGCACAAAAATCACAACAGGAACCTCACTTTTTCCTTGAGATCTCCTTCAAATTTGAGAAATTCCGCCACTTTCAGGGCCTTGTCATTTGTCAGACCCTCAAAGATATCGATGGGGAGAGTGAGCAAGCGCTCAGGGGTTTTCTCAGCAACCTCCTCAATGTCCATTCCTCCATCAGGACTTGCAATCAAAACAGGTCCATTGTGGTCCCTGTTAACAAATAAAAAATAAGAGTATTAGACTTAAATATCTTTTTATGTAATCAAATTCATGATATGACTTATCTATATATCCATCCCCATCTGTACACATATACACAGATAAAATAAATGCATCCAATCACAGTTACATGTATTAAACAAACCTCTTAAGTTGAGCAACCATAACAAGTCACTCCCACCCAGGAAAACACACCTGTCCATCAAAATGCAAAAGTAGGTCTCCCTCAGGATGTCCACTGACTCGGCAACCATCACCTTGTTCACCAGGATGCCTTCCTTCGGCGTCTGCTTTGTGATGAGTTTGTGGCCCACCATCTTCTCCACTAAGGACTCCACCTCTGTTATACTGCAATTATATTCACTTTTAGCCACTCTAGAACT